TCGGGTACCGTCTCGGCCGCTCGCCCTGCCCAGACCCCAGGCCTGACTGTGTCCTGACCCAACCGTAATAAAAAGCCCCCGGAGCCGCAGGTTTGGCGCCCACAGTAGGCCCGGTCCCTGAGCTTCCGGCGCGCACCTCTAATTCGCCCAGTTAACCCCGTGGGGCGCCTGCGGAGACCTGGAGGCGGTCCCGCACTTTCTGTCCCGGTTCTGCGCCTGCTCGTCCGGCGAGGTGCGCCGCATTTTTGCGAGAACCCACGGGAAAACACTGAGAAACACCGCTGCGTGCAAGGAAATGCTAAATTCTCTCTCGGTGACCAAGAATCATAGATTGTTTTAAATCGATTTTTTTCCTGATAATGAGTAATACGTGAAAAATCATCAATAATTTCACTATGGAGGAGTAACCCTGTTAACGTTTATGGATATTTCCTTATAGTACTTTTCTTACCATATGATCTGTTTCTCTTTTATATATTGTTTTTCTCTGTATGTGTTGCTTTCCTTTTTCCTTCTACAAAATTCTCAGTTGCAGTAATTCAGCTTTAAGGTAACCAGATGCCTGGGAAGATATTGATGCATAAGATAGCATATTGCAGCATTAGTTAGTAAGACAAGAAATTAGAACTCTAATGCTAACAAAGGGAAATTGTTTATCTATGGTATAAACATGCAACACAATTCATACAACAAACGTGTTGAGTACAATAGTGAGTGAAAAACAGTGGGAAGTGCTCTAGATAAAGTAAATGAGAATAAGTAGCAAATATTTCACTTCAATGAGCAATTACTAATGGATGAGAAATATGATGAGCCAGGAAAGAACATATCAGTAGTTTAAGCAACACTCTTCTTGTTTGAATCAAAAAGGTAGAAATATGCTATAAACCCGTGTCAAGCTTGGTCCACTCCAGAATTCAATTTTCTTTGTCTACACTATGCTGCTTTTAATCTATTCATTTCTTTAAGATTATACCTGGTACTGACTTCCACACTTCCGAGGAAAGAGGTGTCCCATTTTGCAGAAGGACATAAGCATGCCTTGTCGTCCACTGTAGTGAGAAGAGGAGTACTCTTCCTTAAGCTGCATTCTTCGAATGATGAAACTGAGGCAGAGGTAGGCCAAGGAACTTGGCCAAGGACAGACTGCGTGCCTGTGGCAGAGCTTAGAATAATATCCAGACCTAATTTCCAACTCAGATTTTTTTTTAACCTTGGCATTTATTTTGCATGAAGAATGTTAAGGCCTAGGAAAACAAAGTAGGTTATGCTGAGAAGATGCTTACATCTTACATCGTTCCTCAGCTAAGATGACTTCTGATGTCTCAGGGTGACTTGGACTATATGCATATTTAAGTAGCTGCACAGAAATGGAAATCGGATGATGGGTCCCTAAGATATGCTGCATGGAAATCATGGGTGTGAGGTTAAGGGGCAG